TATAAACAAAATATATATTCCTGTTCGGTCACCATGTGTTGCCTGATCTAGTCGAGAGGTGGCGTCCCTGGCGGCAGGGAGGCTGGATTCAAATGATCTCTAAGGTCCCTTCCAGCTTAGGCCATTCTATGATTCTATGATATACACACCCACACACACCCCACCAAAAAGATCTGAAAGAAGTGCCCCAAGAGGAAAGAATACCTAATTTTAATTAATTAAAACATCAAAAGAAGAACAAAGATAAATTAATTGGCCACAGAAAGTCTGGAAATGGAGAAAGAATTTTTACTGAGCAAGACAGAACAGAGAGCACTTTGAGGGATAAACACATAGGTACTTTCTAAAGAAGAAATTTGATAATTCTCTTGAAAGGGTTCCTATATGCTGCCTGTGATAGCAGCTGACTAGATTTACTAAGGAGTGCCAGTTCTTTGTCAGATAAAATATCACCACTTCATCACAGTGATTCAGTTTGGAACACATCTTGAAATATTTGCAATTTAGGCAGGGGAGACACTAGAGAAAAAAAAAAAAGGTTCCTGCCAAGCAGTAACCAATCCTGCCAGGATGACCTAAATCTGTTGTTAAGTCAGATTTACCCTTCAAATTCAAACGCGAGAGCTGCATCCGTAACTTACTCTGCTTGCACTTCCTGTGCTGCTGAGCCTGAAAGGGAAGGTCAGATCACAGCTTCAGGACAGCAATCAATGCTCCTGCACAAAAGGCAGCTTAATTTTAGCATCTGTAAGATCAAAAGGTTAAAAAATTGGCTCATAATTTGCCTTGCATCTCAGGGGTTAAGTGATAAAATTGAAGTGTTTATGCAGTCTCGGTAAAGGACTAAGGTTTTTGTGCTCTAAATATTCAGAATAGGAAGTACATAAAGAGCAAACAAAGAAACAAGTGGAAGTAATTGCTGTCTCATACTAACCTAAATCCCTGGAAGAATTAATGTTCTAGGCAGATACCAGAGCTAGCGTTTGGATTTAATAAAGCAAGAAAGGACTAAGGTTTTTTGCCTTTTTTTTTTTTTTAAGATGACAGTCCTCTATTTATACCAGTTCAACTATTCTAGGACTCAGTTTAGAAGTTTACATTAATAATTTTAAAAACAACTTTATCATCTTATACAAGCCTGTGCTATGACTTGCACTGACTTAAACAGTCCCCATTTAGAGAACTAATTGCTTCACGCAGCAGATCAGTCCCAGCAGGGTGGATGCTACCGGTCAGTTTTCTCAGTGTATTTTCTTCAGTCACCACTTTGCTTCACTTAAGAGAAACAAAAACAATATTAAAAAGTGAGAGCATGTTTTTGAAGGGAGCTCCTCTACCATTATCTTACAATGATTTCAAACATTAATTACAGCATTTGACACTTAAGATTGGCCAACATATATACTGCAGTAAGCCATATGTTATTGCAAGCTCGTACTTCTGAGCATCTTTTCTATGTATAAGAAGTCTCTGGAGTTCCGTGTTAGCTGACTTTCTCCTTACTTTACCAATCAGTTCAGGACACTTAAATATTTCTGTAGCTTTAAGCATTTAAATTCTATTTGTATTACACAATTACACGTTTTGTTAATCATCTATCTGCCCTGCTACTCAGGTTTAAGCAGAAGTGTTACGCGTCCCACCAAGCAGAGGCCTGAAAGGGAGCATAACAGCTCTCCTTGTCAGATCCTGGTCAGCAGCAGCACAAGCAATGATAACAGAATGCTTTGCAAGGTATTAACTTCTCATCCAAGTTTGACTGAACCATGCAAGGCAGCTCTGAGCCTGTTCCATGCTTTCCTATGAGGCCCCTAAAATTTCTCCAGCTTTCTTCTGTTCAGGTTGAGAGCTGACAGTCCCTTACCCCCACATCTATCTCAAGAGGGCGAAAAAGATACAAGAAAACCAAAGCAACCCCTCAAAGCAGTCCCCTTTCCATACAATCAAAACCAACATGCTGGCCTTAGGAAACAAAAGCAAATAAAATCTCTCCTTTCAAATGCCCTTTCTAAGCACTGCAGCAGGCCCTCCTCTTCAGATTTAAGGCTACGATATACCAACAGTGTCAGAGGCAGAGTGTTTGAGTGTCCACTTCTCTGCTCCCGGTTCAGAGAGACAAGGTGCCTCCCTACAACCAGCCACGCTTCCTACCATCAACAGGGAAGATCGCAAAAAGCCCTGATCTGTCGGCTGAGTGGCCTGCAGCGAGGGCACTCATTTGCTATATGGGACAGGATTCAAGTCTGTAACACAGACAGGTATATGAAACTTTTTTTTTCAAAGAAAGTTATCTTGGTACATTTTCTTTTTTCCCAACATCATCTTCTGATGTCACCTGGAACTTGTGGAAATAAGTAAACTGACTTACCTAAAGCATCCTGTCAGACATTAAAGGATACTGTCACATACTAATTATACTTCAGGAACAGAAGGGAAGACAATTGCTATAATTACCTCACTGCCGAAAATATCTATAAACAAAAATAAGGTCACATAAATAAGCTGAGGCAATACATAAATAAAGATTCTAGAGAATTTTACCTGACTCAATTTACTGAAAAAGCTGCAGGATCTTTCTAAAGGGGACTGGGAAGCCCGAACAAAGAACCTCACAAACATTTTTGAAGCAACAAGTTCTTTTTCATAAACTGCCTGAAGCAGCTAAAATAATGATCTTGCATAATTAGAAAGGAACAATTACAAACTTCTAGTCCCACAGGGAGCCTATTGTCTCATTAATGTGTTCTGGAATGTCTATGACATTTAGAAACAAACTGGACAGGTTTCCCACTTGCTAAAAGTGGGAATAGGCCTTCTATCTATTAAAGCAACACACACGAAAATACCTCTTCCCATAGCGATTTCAGTGCCAGTTTTCTGTTTTATTAACCAAGAACTCCGCACAAATAATTTGTCTGATCAAGGCTGTTAAGTTGTTCAAAGGATTAACAGACAGGTTATCAAAGCAGTTTAGAGAATAACCCTCCAAAATTTGTAGGTCACAAATTCCAAGCACCTCCAAAAGGATATTTTACCTGTAAGACCTATCAAGCCACGGAAAGACTCTCTCCGTTCTAGTTCTAGCAATACACACTCTTGGCTTACAAGGAAGACCAGGCTGCAAGAAGCACTCTGCCCTGGGGCACAGCAATCAGCATCCTGCCTCGCAGGTCCCCCTCTTATGTGCAGTCCCCCCACATCATACACAGACCTTTATCAGCTACTGGTCAACTTGGCTGTTCTTCCTGCACCCGTTTTTTCCCCTTGAAATCTCTGTTTTATTTAACTGCTTAGCAGGTGATGGATCTGGTTTCCTCTTCTCCTCCTGGCAGCCATCCAGAAGGACCTATCCTTGCTTCAACTTCTCTCACAGAAGGTCCACAAGCAGCCACAGCAAAGGACCAGTCAAAAGCTGCTCATGGAGCATCTGTGACAAAAGAGAGGAAGCCAGCAGCTCCTTACAGGACAGCACAGCACCAGTGAAAAACACTACATGAGAGTCAATGAAAGCATTAACAGAGGTTCAGAAAAAGAAGAAGAAAGAACAGGAAACAAGTTGGTTAGAGCAAGAGAGAAAGCATTGAAGTGTCCTTGTTAAATTTCTTTCTCTTACTAAGGAGGAGGAGTTCATTTTCTCTAGACACATGCATATGCACAGGGATTGCTTCCGGGTGTTTTGCTAACCCTGTATGCTCAGCCTGGGTCTGTACAGAGTCGGCTGGGCAAACGGCCTTACTGCTAAACTGAGCCTTCAATACCTACAGAATACACCGTTCCCCTGAATGTGTGGCCTCATGTCACTTTAACAGTCCTAAATTCCACATGAAAAGATTTAATCTTAAAGAACAATAAAGTCAGCCATAATGCTGTAGGTTGTACTGTGCCAAAGCATAATACGATTATAAATTCCATTCATTTACAGAAGTATTTCAAGAGGACCATTTACTGCAAGTAGGATTACCGTTAGCTAAAAATATTTTGTACAGGGAACTCATGATTTCGTTCCTTTGAAAACAGTCCTCTTTTATACGAGAACCTGAAAGAAGGTGTAAGGGTGCAGAATTAGGGATAAGGTGTTTGGAGCTGCCCAGCAGACCTTGGTAGACAACAGAATATTAATTTAGCATAAATACAGCTTAACACGAAAACAGAAGAGGTGCTCCAATTTGAAAGGCTGAGATCTGCTAATGTTCTTAGGTTGTAAAATCTGTTTTACAGAAAAGAACCCTATAATTTCAAACGTAAACAAGCTCTCTTGTCTCTACCTTAATATTTTGCACAAGCTTAAATATTTTCCGAAGGAGAGAGACTTTCCTTAAAGGAACTGGTAACACAAAACGCTGACATTTTATTTCATTGTGTGGCCTAGTATTCCACTGATTTCAGCCCGCTGCTGCTTTGCCCATGTAACACTAATGAACCAAACTATGGCATGCAGCAGCCACCACTGACTCAAATTCAGTATTTGTGTATTTTTACTCAGAGTTTGCATGATAATGCTTTTCATTGCTTTCAATCCCTGTACAATAAAAGAAAGAGTCTTTCACAGAGAAAGCATCACACACACATAGCATCTGCAGGAGTATTCCAAGAGGAACATTTACTGCAAGGAGGATTATGGTTACCTACAAATACCTTGTGCGGGGAGTTGATTTTTTTATTCCTTTCATTACAGTCTTCTTTTACATAGAAGTACAAGGTGCATAAGTTCAGGAACGCAATGTCTGCGCTAACACTTGCTCCCTGACCTCTGATAATTCATTAGGAGGTTTTGGAGGAGTTTCTTGGGAGAGTTTGTTGTCAGAACATTTATTTCACCAAAAGCTCCTACCAATCATTCACATCAGCATTCTGATGGAAAAACAGATGTAGTTCCTCCCACCGCAATTCCTCACACAGGGAAGCCTCATATCGAGTTAAAACACAAGGTCTCGCTCATTTCAGAAATGAAGATGCTTCAGTTACTTGGTGACAAGAAAGGAAGAGAAGTTCCAACTTACCACCCCACCTCCTGCCGAGTGAACCAGCACAGACATGCCTTCTCTTAGGTTGGCAACTTCAAAGAGCATCATGTAGGCAGTTACAAAGTTCATGGGAAACGCAGCAGCTTCGGAAAAACTCATGTCATCAGGGATCTTGTAGACAAATTCTACTGGGGTACATACTACTTCAGCCCACGCGTTGTAGTTTACAAAAGCCATGACTCTGTCTCCAATCTGCAATCAAGGAAGAAAACGCTGAGGATATGGCTGCAAATAAGACTGTAGAGAGCAACTTCTAAGATCTGTAACTGTCCTGTTCAAGCTGTGGGTCACTGACTGACTGTGAAGACAACGGTGCTCTGTATCTTTGGCAAAAGAGCCGCTGACCTGCTCCACTTTGGGCTTTTACCTTTTTTTAATTGTATTTAAAAGTTAAATTTAACAAAAATACCCAAGGTTAAACAAAGCTACCTCCTCTCTTTTTGCTGCGTTGCTTCTCTGATGAAGCAGTCTTTCATCATCACTGATACAGATCAACTTCTGCTACCAGAGCTCCTAAATAAAAAATGGGCCTGTAAACAATGCAGTCAGCATTCTTACTAATAACCAGGAAATTTGTTTACAGAAAGAAAGAAAAAAAACTACTATATTGATGAGATGGATGGAATAAACAAAATTACACCAAAGACATTTTTCAATTTGCTTTCTCAGTCCTGAAACTAATTTAAACCTACTTTTCTCCTCTCTCTGGATCGAGAAGGGCAGGTGTTGTATTCTGGTAGATAAAGCACATGAAAAGGTTTGGAAATCACTCATTTAGAAGATAACATCTATATTAACTTATATTCTACTGATACCCAGAAATCCTTTAGAAATACTACAGGTTGTTTTTAGACTATTTAAACTATATTCTACAGCAATGGATTAAAGCACAACACTTACCTTCAGGCAAACGTTTATAGCACAAGCACATTTTGGTTTCCCAAGTACTTGTCATCACATTAGGATACTGTGGGTTTGCTAAAAGCTAAGGTGCTGCTGACAGTTCTGAAGGGTTTGTCTCTTAAACGAGGATGCTGAAACAGAACTGTCATTCCAACTTCACTGAAATGCCACCTCCTTTTGAAAAACACATTCAAATTGACAATGCCTCACTGGAAACTACTCTATGGTTCCCTTTTTAGAGAAGGGCCTAAAATCTGAAGTTGCTAGGCTTCATTAGAGAAGATGTTAGTATGTCCTATATCCTTGCAAACAAACATAAACAATTACCAAAAGAATGCAGGTAAGTCCCTCTTGGTGATCCCTGAGGGAGTTCCAAGTAATAATAAAAAATGTATTTTACCACAAACAGTATACAGAGCCATCACATCACATTAGGCTTTAGCTCCTGAGAATCACTCCCACCACTAGAGAGAGATTAGGCTTGATGCATTTGAGCTCAACAGAAACAAGCTGCTGCTTTTCATGGGAGAAGGAATACGTATTACCCCATTATTCCACTAAAAAAAGGCTTTCTTTCCATGTCAAAATATGTTCCTACACATCGCTGTTTAAACAGACTGCCAGTCAATGCTGTTGTCTGCCATACAATAATGCAATCACAGCAAACGAAGACAACAAATGGCTGGGCGGTATCTCAGGTGTAGTATCTCGGGTAGTATAGACTAAAGGCCAGTAAGACACACTCATCCAGAGCTTGAAATGCCCACAACTTTAATGGGACTTGAACTGGAAGAGATCTACAAAGGGAAAAAAGGGTCAGAAGGGTGCAACCTTTGCCATTCCTGCCATTGCCATGGGCAGTGGTAACAGCATATGGCAAGGAGACAAGTGGCACCTGGCGCACTCCTGTTCTGGGCAAGAAATCCATAAAGAAACCAACAGCACGTTCTTGCAACTTCCTCGTGGCATGTTCTTCTGCTGATGCGCTCGTACCTGCGCACAGCAGTTATTCTGAGCCACCCTTTCTTGCAGATCACTAACTCTACCATGGCTATGTAGATTATATGTAAAAAATAAAACACCACTGCTTGTTTCAACTTCAGGGAGTAGTCTGAGCTAAACAGAACCAATTCTGTTCAGTGATTTTCTTTTCAGCTCACCCTCTAAGTGACTGCATTTTCTGAAGTTAACAGCATGTTTTTGCAGAATGTGCAAGTGATAACACCTGATGTTTACAGCTGCTACCAAGGTCTGGTATGCAGAAAGGCTCTTATACTTACTCCTACAGTAGCCAAGGTCAGTGCTAATCTTATGTAACATGTCTGGGGAGCTGGCAAGTGAAAGGGGTTGCGAGGAAGTAAAAGGTTGCACCTCTGGGAAAGAATGGACAGGACAAGAAACCAACAAGAGTATTCTGTTCTACATACATCATACTCAGTATAAATTAGCTGAGAGATCACAGGGGTTAAGTTCTCTTGCTTTAACAGCCAGTGCCCGTGGAGGACTCCCTCTGATCTTCTGCCTTTGATCCCGATCCCGAGTTCCTGAGTCCAGCTCCTGTGTCCGGTTCTCCTCTGGGACTTCCTGCTGCCTGCCTGCTCTGCAGCATCAGTGGGGATCACTAGCGGGAGGAGCTGGGTTCAATATCGATTTTTGTATATATGTATAAAAATATTTTAATTATTTCCTTATTAGTAATATTATTGTTTTCTTAAAGCTGGTTTAGTTTTCCAATCTGCCTCATTCCCTTTCCGTTCCGGGAGTGAGAGGAGTTAGAGAGCATCTGTCAGCGTTTAGTGGCTGGCCCAGCGCTAACCCTCAACAACCAGAGCACAAACATGTTCCATAGTCAGAATAAAGATGTAAACTCTAGAAGAGACCCAGTATACTCAGTCAGGTGGAATGTTATTCAAACAAGCACCATATGCTGTAGCCTGATGATGCCCTTTAAGAATAACAAGAACTTTTAAACTAAGAATGCTGATCTAGAGCAGAGACTTTCTGTGTTCCTTTCATAGAACATTCTTTGATACAGAACATAACCATAAGACATAGATACTAGAGCGGAACAAGTGCAGCACTAGAGTCTTGCAAACAGCAAAGTTATTCTTCAGTTAGTGTTTGTCACAAAAAAACACGGGAAGATTACGACTTGTTTCAAGACAGAGATGTGGCAGGATGGGGAAAGCAGAGAAACAGTTTAAGAAAAACTCATCACTGAGACCCTACTAGAAACTAAACTGACTGTTATCCTTACTCAGCTGTGGAATTTTACAGCTCTTAAGAGATACCAAAGAGTACATAATGCCAACCAGTTATGAGAGCATTATTATATATTTGTCATTTATCACTATTCTGTTGGGTGAAACAGATCCTCTTCCTGAGTGATCAGAATTAGTCACATACCCATAATCAGGCTCCCAATTTTATCCACATCTCACGAACACACACAGTTGTGAGAAGCATGCTTATTGGAGATGGGGGTCTTGTTAACTCAAGAACAGAAGCTGGAACCAGAATCAGCAGTGCATGGGCTTTGAGGATCAGAGCAATGATGACAGCAAATACGGCCAAGAAACAAGTTCACTCAATTTCTTTTACTTTCTTAAAGCAAATCAGTCATGCTTTCCAGTTCCGATTTAGCCATCAGGATATGCACATGGCACAAGTGCATATTTTTCTTTTCAGGACAGATTTGAAGAAGATGACAGTGGTGGCTTTAAAAACTAATTCAATATGTCATTCTCATGCTTGGGAAGTGGGAAGGAAAAATTGCCCTTTCAAATCTCAACAGGGTGGTGAGGACTACTGTCTCTGGCAGACCAGAAGGGATCAGGGACAACATACTCAGTGAACTCTGAAAAAAAAACATTACCTCAAATCCTTTCACGCTATCTCCAAGAGCTTCTACAATTCCAGAACACTCAAATCCAGGAACAAGCGGCGTCTTAGGAGGGTTGTCGATATTCCCCTGTCGCACCATCAAATCAATGAAGTTCAAACCACTGTAGGACACAGGCAAAAAAATAAAATTAAGACTATTACCATGGATTAAAGCAGAAGAGGAAAACTTGACCTGAGTAACAGGAAAGCCAGAAAAACTCAGAGCAGCATTCAAAAGCTGAGCTCCACATTCTTCATATGTGAAAGAGACTGACTTTACCCTGTGCTGCAGAGGCCTCGGGCAGAAGAGCCCACGTGCAAGGCAAACCCATCGGTCCTCAGTCCCAAAGCTTACAAGACTGTTTAGGAGTCACCCAGAGAAATTCACAAAGGGCATTTAAAAACTCAGTAGAGTGAAACATTACGATTTCTGTGAATGCATTAATAGCTGGCAAGTAAACCCAGCTCAATTTAAGATGAAAACCCCAAAGCTCAAACATTATGGATGTTCTGGGCCAAGAGCAACCTGATGTAACGGTCCCAGCCTCTGATGTGACTCCAGGAATGAATCTTGTGTTCCTCCCAGGCAGGAGTCCAATCTGCGACTGAACTTAAGTACCAGATAGGCTGTTTCAAAACTGTTCCTCCTGAATCACTTTTGTACGGTTTTGCAAAGGCTATCTAGGTCTTTGGAGCCCTCAGGGTTGGTGCTCAGAAAAAAAAAAAATACAGGTCTTCCCCTGCAGTCTCAGTTTTGCAAAATTTGCTGTGTCTTTTAAAATTTACCTAACATTAAGTAAAATATGTGGTTTTCTAGGCAGCCAGAAAAGAAAAAAAATCCCACAAGCAAAAGAGGTATCATTTATCTATGATGTGCATATGTTAATTACTGGCACAAATGCCATACATAGTTAAACCTTCTAAAGCTAACTAGCTAAAACACATTTCAGCATTAATCCATTGTTCCAAAACTCAGCCTGTGTTTATTGTTAGCCAAAAGGGCTGCACACTAACTCCCCCGACTCTAGGAAGCTCTGCACACAGCCAGTCCTACTCATGCACATGACACCAGCAACTGCCTGGATACATAGAATTACTGATGGGCACAAGGATTTATAAGATGGAGCTTTAGTCAGATACGAATCAAAACAGAGACTGAACAGACCCAACAAACAGAAAGACAGGAGACACACAGCGTAAGCACTAAGACAAGACAGCAATTCATGGGATGTAGGTCACTGGGGAGGGGGAGGAAATTCCACCAAATGTAAATATTTGTAACCGTGGTGGAGGGTTTAAGAACAACCTGAACCCACAACTGCAAGGTCTGTAAAAGTAAGACTACAGATTATTTTTGAAAAACCCGACTTTGACAATCCAGCCTGACAAACTCAGGAGAAAAATTTAAAAAAAAACCCAAAAGAACAACAAAGCAAAACTAATAAACCACCCACCCAACAAGCGTGCTCATACATAAAGTTCATAACATCAACTATAGAACAGGCTAGAGGAAGGATTTGTCATTAATTATGACAATTCTGTCATTAATTGGGTTGGGAGCTTTGAAAGGATTTTGGAACGGCCATTTCTTATCCAGTGGCTAAGACCCCCTCCTACATCATCAGTGTAATGCTGATACTGAAAGAGAAATTCCAAATAACAGAATGCCCACAAAGCGGTCATTATTTGGGGAAACAAACCCCCAAAACAGCCACCTCAAAACCAAAACCCCCCACAACATACATGGTAGCAACCACAGTTTGTGTACATTAACTCCAGTGATGATCTTTTGAACATGTCTTTCCACACATTTTACAGAAAGTTAACTTTTTCTATACTCCTGCAAGAAAGAGCAGCTGGAGGCAGAAATGTGATGCAGAAACCTGTGTAGGAACACGTATCATGATCTCGTAACAAGCAGGCAACAAGCAGACAGGCGGACACGGCAAGGACCACAGCTGTTTGATACCAGCACCAGGCAAGTTGGTTCTCTACACTCAAGAACACCCAACACTTTGCACTGCAAAATACCAAATCACAGAAACCATCCTTCACAGTTCACTTCAGAGAGGTCCTGCTTTTGATCTGCTTTCCTTATTTCACTGCAAGAATCCACTAAAATTAATTACTGAAGTTAACGAAATACAATGGAGCAAATAAGAGGACCACTGAGTTTCACATTCTTAAAATACTTCCTCTTGCTGTGGCCAGAAAATGGCCTGACAACCTTTTAGAAAGAAAAAAAAAAAGAAAAAAAAAGGTGGAAAGTTTTAAATTATGAGATCTCACACTTTTTATCCAGAAAGACTCACAGCATGTGAATAAGACCGCCTTTAACAACAAAACTGATACACTGTCGGCTACCCTGCTATACTTAGGATTTCTTTTATTTCCTACCAGTTTTTTAAGTCTCATGGTCATAAAGTCAGAAAGGTCAATTCTGCCTCATTCTTCCTTCCTTGTGCTGCTATACGTTTGTGCATAGTACACGTATAGCGGCACAAGAAAGAACTAGTTCTAACAAAGAAAAATAAAAGGACATAATTGCAGGATACCATTCCTTATTCACACATCCTATCTGAAATACTGCTTCAGTTGGTTCTAAATACTTGTCTGATCTTTTAAACAATAGGTACACTAGCATTCTGCAGACCACAAATTACAATACAAATACAGCAATTTCAACTGCTCTGTCATTATCAATCAAAAATTACTTCAGGAAATATGCCGGAGCTGTGACTCAGCTTGGACATCAATGGCTGTTCAATTTCTTAGTCACTGAATGAGGCTAACACATGACTCATCTCAGCTGACACATTTTCAATTGGATCATTGATATTCCAGACCTTCAAAAGAATTATTCATCTAGCTTAGTGCTAATAGCAACATATCCTCCATCTTCTCCACTTACAGTGCAATACTACAAAACATATACAGATGATTCAACTGGTTTCATTGCCCCGTGAATGCAGAGACAACACACAACTTGCACTTTGCGCTCATACACGATTTAGCGTGCATGCACACCTTCTTAAAATAAAGATTACTATCTTTCCACGACTTGATGGAGAAAAATAATCATCACCTGTAACGATGGTCAGCTGCAAAACTGATTCAACTACAAACATTATTTGCCATCAGCGAGTCTCACTAGAGCATCCCGTCAGCGGCAGGTTCAGCACAGCACACACCAACAGGCGCACACTACACTGGGCAAAGCCAACAGGCGGGTTTTTCACTCAGTGCCCCAGACTAGACTGTAAGTCCATCGTCACCCTGATCAATCTTCTGTATTTACAGACTCAGGTCAAGAAGACCGGTAAATTGATTTTGCCTTGTTTGGAAGCACACTGTGGTGGCCCGACTGCACCTCGGCGCCATGGCCGTTTCCAGCCTGGAGCGACGCGTAGATGCTGCACAGCCCACGGGCTCCTCGGGCACCTTCCCCCAAAGCACACAGGGTATGGTGCAGCCTGGCAGTAACTACAAAGCGGCTGAGCAGGTCTCCTCATGTCCCACCACCAGCATGCAACTTGCACAGCTCACCTGTGACAACGCAACCCTGGAAAGCAACTGTGGTTGTAGCAAGACTGAATATTTCTATTTTAGAGCCAGGGGCTCTTTTGCAGGCAACCTGCTATTTGTGATACAGATGTATCCACTGCTTTGATGAAACTGAAATTCATGCAGGTACTGCAGAGTGCTGTAAATCCCTCAGGCATTTGCAGGAATATGTCCACGTGCTCAGAACATTTGAAGTTCTGCACACTAACTTTTGCTAATTCAACAGCTCTAAAAAAAAAAAAAAAATCACTCAGAAAACACCACAGCATATTCTCAAAAAGAGTCACAGGCCTGTTTGATAACAAAATGAGCTACTCAGAAGCTACTATGCTACCAGTATTTCTTGTATTCACTTATGATGGTATTTCTTGGATTTCCCATTGTGACTATTAGAGAAAAAAAACAAATAAATTAGAATGCAAGAAGTCTCAGCCCTTTATTTATTCGTCCCCATTCAGACTGATTGATAGGACCATTCTTGATGGGGAAGAGCGCAGGGTGTGGGGAAATACTCACGTAGGTCACAAACTTCATGGCCCCCATTAACAATAGAGTGGAAACCCCTGTGTCTGAACAGACCAGGCCATTCAGCTCATTAATACTGCAAGATCTGAGCTACATTCACTGGATGCATCGTTCAAAACAAGCTCACTGCCCCATACCCGTGTAACTTCTAATGCAAGTTACTTCTAAAATAAACTTGGCCTTCACCTTGAAATTTATCTTCCAGCAGCACAATGTTTTTACACAGCAGAAGAGAATAACAAAAGAAAAATCCCTGCCTAGGCAAAATTCGTTTGGTACACAAGTCATGCAATAAGATCCTAACGTCGCTTCTGTCACTTAAAAAAAAAAAAATCCTGTTTTCTGGAAGGAACATGTGCACTGAGAACCAGCTATCTAGGAAGAATAGTCTGCTCCAATTGTTTCGGAACAAAAAATTAGCCTTCTAGGAAGGCTCGTCTCGGGGCGCCACCAGCT